AAAAAAAAATAAAAAATAAAAAATAAAAAATAAAAAATAAAAATAAAAATAAAAAATAAAAAATAAAAATAAAAAATAAAAATATATATAAATAAAAAAAATAATAAAATTTAAATTTAATTTTAAATTTAAGGTAGTTTAAGATGAAGGAAAGGAGACTGACAAGGCATGGCACGAATTGGGGTAGGTGACCCCGTTCCGTCCGCACACGGGCGTTCGCTCGCTCGGGCAGTCGCAGGGCCGCTGGGCGTCCACTGACGTCACGGGTGACGCCCGGGGGCACCGTCGACGTCCGCACACCAGGTCGCCGTAGTGGCACATGCACTTCTGGCAGTCAACGTTCACGGTCTCGCCGTGCTCTAGGGATCCATCGGGCGATTTTGGTCATCGGGGCGATTCCGAAGATCGGATGTAATGGATGGACCGTTAAAATGTAATGGACTCACGGATCCTGGCGTTGCCCAGCCAGCAAGGTCCGAGCGACCGGCACTCGACGGCGCCGCATCGCCGCAGCGCCCCGTCCGCGCCGCACTGGCACACTCGCTCGCACTCGCTCTGCCTTCGTCCGATGTCCCAGGCCTTCCCTGCGTCCCAGGCCTTCTTGCCGACGGGGGTCGCCTGGGGGATCCGGACCCACGTGCCGGCTTCGACCGTGAAGCTGCTCACTTCGCCCAGCACGCAGCCTGAAGCACGATAAAATTTCACTATTTTTCAATCAACAAGATTAAATGAATTAATAATCTACCTTCTGTACTTCATACACAAAAATGCGAAAGTAAATTACTCTGATATTCATCGGGTTCACAAAGCCATTAATTTGGACTCACCGGGCACACAAGTGTACGTCGGGCAGTGCGACTCCGGAAGCCCGTGCCGGCACCGCCGAGTCGGCACGCACACCTGCGACGGCGAGCACGGATTCTTCCGACACGGCGACGTCGCCTGCTCGTCCGGCGGGACGTACGGCAGCGGCGACGCCGTGAGGAACGCCGAGACCGGGAGGCACCCGTCCGCGTGCGACGGCAGGCGCCCGCACAGCGCCGGGATCGCCGCGGATTCCCCGTCCATGCACCGGCTCAGGAGGTTGTAGCAGTCTGATCTGCGTGAGGACGAGTTGGGTCAAAGGGCGGGTGGGAACAAACAATGATTATAATAAATAATAATAAATAATAATAAATAATAATAAATAATAATAAATAATAATAAATAA